AAGATCCCACAAGCCATCCAGTGAAAAAGAAAAGAAAAATTTCATAGGTTTTCCTTTATCTGAATTTGTTTCTTAGTGATTTTTAGACTTTTCTCTACCTGGACCTGTTGTCGCACAAGAGCTAAGAAATGTGTAAGTAGAGAACAGTAGATTGAATCCCCTTTGAGTACTTTTTGGCTGTCTTCCAGAAAATCAAAGAGGAGAATGAAAAATTACTGAAAGAATATGGCTTTTGTGTTATGGATAACCACAGAGAGAGGATCGCCAACTTCAAGATAGAACCTCCTGGGCTCTTCCGTGGCCGCGGCAACCACCCCAAGATGGGCATGCTGAAGAGACGAATCATGCCTGAGGATATAATCATCAACTGTAGCAAGTGAGCACAGTTCGTCCTTTGGCCAGAAATGAAGTGGGGGGCTTCCTTTGTTCTTGGTAGTTTGGATCCCCACCCCGCCCCCACCATTACAGAAGACTGTTTGGGAGCAGTGTGGTATTTCTGTGTATAGATCTCCAGGTGCTTATCTTGTATTGATTGGCAAGGAGGAAACTTGGAAATACACGCTTACAGATTCATCCACTTCCAGTGATGAAAAGTGAAATTGGTCATTACTTCTCACCTCACTGCTCTACTGCTTTATTTCCACAGAGATGCCAAGGTTCCTTCTCCTCCTCCAGGTCATAAGTGGAAAGAGGTCCGACATGATAACAAGGTTACTTGGCTAGTCTCCTGGACAGAGAACATCCAAGGTTCTATTAAATACATCATGCTGAACCCCAGCTCTCGAATCAAGGTAAGTGGTAGCCAAGAGCTGCACCAGTTAGTGGGACTGATAATCTCTTGTCATTTTGTTTGAAATCTGATGTCCTCAGCCTCTAGAATCACTTTGACAAATTGAAAACCATCCCCACCCACAAAAAAAAGGGTACTTTTCATAGTTAGCATTATCTGGTGACCTTCCTAAGATGTTTCCATTTTATGCATCACATTGTAATCTTATTTATTAATTTGCAAATACTAATTGAAATCCATGTATGGGCCTGGCACAGTGTAGGCATGGTGCTGGGAATTACCTTGGTAAACAAGACGGACACACACAGTCCTTGCTTCTCCATCGCTTACTGTCCAGTGGTCGGAATGATGAAGACTGTGGTGAATGTATGTTGGTTTCTACAGCTGGTTCTCTTCCTCTTCCTCACCTTTCTGGGCTCTGAAGAAAGGAAGATAATTACTCTGAATCCAGAAAGAGTTGTAAAATCTGGAGTCTTACATACTTTGTCTTCCTAAGGCTTCATCTGAGTAGATTCCACCAGGACTTAATGGGATAATGTCTGGGAAAGCATATCTTAAACTGTTGTGTACACATGTGTTGCTGTTTATTGATACTGTTCTTGAAAAGAGAAAACTCTCTTGGAAGGACTATCAGTCAACCTGTTAGGCATACCCTGCTTGAATGAGTCCCTCAGATATACTGTGAAAATATGAATGGCAACTTAAGAGATGAGTTCCGCAAAAAAACAGTCAGGGAATTAGTTCTGTGTAGACTGACTGTTTACATGCAGGGCACTGAGGCTAAAGCCCCTCTTAATCTTGGTTTATAGTTTTATCAAACACTTGTTAAGACTGAAAGCCACAGCTCAAAAGGCCATGTGTCTTTTCAAGACCAGACTGCACATTTTCTAGCTTATAGTCCTGTGTTCTAATGAAAAATGCCCTTATATATATATTCTTCAGTGTAATTGGAAAATGACACTGTTCTTAATTTAAAGTGAGCATAGAATCAGAAAGAGAACCCCCATGGCAAGTAAAAGCCAAATCACTTTTAGAAACATGTTATATTCCCGTTCTGAAATACCACACAGCTGTAGGGTGACCAAGGTAGATGAAAAGTGGTTTTAGCCCTCAAAGAACTTATGGCCTGCTGGGCAAATTGGGTAAGAATTCAGTTGTATTAGAAAGATAAATGTTAAATGCTTTGGATAAAGGGAGCAGTTCCCAGCAGTTAGAGAATAGGAACAACTTTTTAAAGGAAATTTGGTTGCAGTTAGGTCTCAAAAGAGAGGTATTTCAGAGAGCATTGTGTCATGTGGACAGAGAGAAGGGGTGTGAAAAGGAGTAACAAAAGGAATTATCAAGTGATGGTTGAGTAACATTGTAAATATGCTAAATGTCACTACTGTTGGGGTGAATTTCATTTTTTTTTTTAATTTCATATTATTCACACAGTAAAAAAAAAATTATCAGTATGAAGGATACTGGATTACTGTTAAAAGTATTTTCATGCAAGTTGACATTTGATTCTTTTAATAACCATACCAGACATGTACTCATGCCACCATCTTACTGATAAATTTAGTCTCTGAGAGGCCTGATTGTGGCCAACCTTAAATGCCACACTAAAGTGACTAGACCATGTTCTGCATTTGATGGAGAACCATTGACTTGGAACAGAGGTGTGTCTTGATCCAATATGCAGGCGTCATGCCTAATCACATTAGTGAATGTAAACTGTTGGCAGTGCCGCAGAGGATGCAGGGTACCTGGTCTGGCTTCCAGGGCCTAGGAAGGGCCTTTTTGAGGAAGTGACCTTTAAAATGAGACTTGCAGGGTGAGTAGGATTTATCCATGGAAAGGATAGGGGAATGGGCATTTCAGACAAAGAAAGTAGCCTTTTGAAATCCCTGAAGTATTGAACTTGGTGGTCTCAAGACTGTAGTTTGAGTGTAATGATCAAGAAAGATACGATGAGGAGGGAACTGGAGACAGGGATGCAGGCCAAATCTTAAGATTTTTCCTTCAATTTTTTTATATTATCTAAATCCAGTAGGAAGCCACTGGATTTTAAAGGGGAAAGATGCCAGATTTGTGTTTTTAGAAACCTGTGATATAATTGATCATTCTGACTGCTGCTCTGTGGAGACTGGATTGAACCCAGGAAGAAGGAGACCAAAAGGAGGCTGTTGCGGTTCTCCAGCCAAGAAGTGGCGGTGACTTAGGGTGGTGGCAGCAGGGGGCCAGAGAGACGAACAGATGCCAGACTCAGGATTGCGCGCGCTTTCTTCACACTGATTGTAGGCGAGTCTCTGGGGCTGAGAGCCTAGTTAGATAAGCGGAGTGGAGTTCCCTAAGGGCAGAGAGCCAGCCAGTTCATTCAGACAATATCCAGAGGCCTCCTATGCACTGTAAGGATTTATGCAGGTTTCTGAGTAATGGTTATGGTAGTAAACCTAGAAAGTCACATAGATGTAGGCCCTGCCTAGAACCTTATATCCAGTGCAGAGTGGCCCACTCCAGCAGTTGGGTTGCGATCCTGAGTCATGAAAAATTGTTAAAGGCTTGGAGAGTGGTACTGTTGAGAAAATAAGTGTGATTTCTTAAGCTTTCTGCCTGTCCTCAGTTATCTCCGACTCAGAATAGATCTTCAGAGGTTGAGGTTTTGATAGTGTGTTAAATAGGTTTTTTTTAAGTGCTTTGCCAGCAGAAGATAAGTGTCTCTTTTTAGATAAAAGTGGAAAGATACAAGCAATAAGTATTTTATTTTCAATGAAATGTTTCCAACATACAAAAATAGTTACAATAATCATTCATATAGCGTCCCCCCATCTGCCCGTGTCAAACCTTAACATCATGTCCTATTTCTTCAATTGCTTCATTTCATAAAAAGTATTGTGATTCTAGAAAAAAATTACAGTTATGTGTTGTGACAGAGGTGTTAGCTATCACTACTGTGGCTATTATATTGTGAAATAAATGTATCAAATTAAAAAAAAAAGAATCACAGGGAGAGCCTTAAAAAAAAAAAATGGCTTCCCAAATAAAATACTGATGTCCCTGTCCGCTCTGAGCTAATTAAACCAGAATCTCCAAAGAAGAGTCTCCAACAAGAAAACCTTATATGCTAGGTGAAAAACATTTTTCTATCCCCTCAAGAATGTATTCATATCAGGGCTTCTAGAGTGTATGTACATACACTCTAGATTTTATAATTATAAAATTATATTTATATTAAAAAGTATTGTGATAAACATAGCTGAAGCTCACTAGGTAACATTTATCTCTTTCCCTGGAGAATACTGAAATGAATTTAATGTTTTCATCCTTGTGTATTTTTACTACATTATGTGTCCATGAACACCATGTAGTACTGTTTTAAGAGGTTTGATTTAAAATTAGATATTTATTGAGATCATTTTGCAACTTATCTCACCACCCTTTGGTTTTGAGAGTTTATTATCTTGATACATATTTCTAATTTACCCATTTTTATTTGCTACATAGTATTCTATTTTATAAAAAGTCATCTGTTCTCTTGTCAACAAACATTTAATTTGAGTTTATAGTCATTTCCTAATATAGTGCTGGAATAAACACATTTTCCTTGTGTATATAGATGAAAATTTCCTTTAAAGATTCTTTATTAGATATTTCCAGATTGTTCCCTAAAGTACTGGAACCAGTTTACCTCACCACCATCTTCCCAACATTGTGCTCAAGTTTCTCTTTTTTCCATATCTCTGTCATCGTTTCTAAAATTTTATTCTTTAGAAGACGTTTGAATCTATGATCCATTAGAATGTATTTCTGTATATGGTTTGAGGTTGAGATCCAATATATTTTTTCCTAATGTGTAACCTGTTGCCCCAGAACAAGTTAGTTGTGTTTTCCCCTCTCTCATATATCACATTTCTACATGTATGTCATATTGTTTCTGGGCTCTCTGTCCTGTTTGTCTGTTTCTTTATCAGTAGCACACTGTCTGACATAATGTAGCTTTATGAAGCCTTACTATTGAGTAGGACAAGTTTTCTTTGCCTCATTCTTAAACTTTTCTTTGCTCTCTGCTTTTTCACATTAATTTTGAGATAAATTTGTTAAGTTCTAATGAAGGCTATTGAGATTTTTTTTTTATAGGATTGCACTGAAACTACAGATTTTTTTAAAAATATGTACTTTATTTATTTGGCTTCACTGGGTCTTAGTTGCAGCACGCTGGATCTTTAGTTGAGGCATGTGAACTCTTAGGTGCAACATGCGGGATCTAGTTCCCTCACCAAGGATCAAACCCAGGACCCCCTGCATTCTGAGCACAGAGTTAGCAATGGACCACCAGGGAAGTCCTGAAATTATAGATTAACAGGGGTGAAATATTGAGATTAGTTTATTGAATCTTCCCATCCATGAACCTGTTACATGCCTCTCCATTAATTCATGTCTTTGAATATATCCTTCAATATTATGTCCTAATTTTTTCTATAGAGGTTTTACACATGTTTAAAACCTTTTCTAAGAGGGCTTATAGTTTCTTGTGCTATTGAATTTCAAGTATTTGTCATTACTACATTTTTGTTTGTTATTACTGGAGTAGTAATGCTGTTGATTTTTTTAATATTGATCTTCTATCTAGCAACTTTGCTGAACTCTTATTCTAAAAATGTCTGTGTCTTCTGGAGTTTCTATATAGACAGTTAAGTGACCTATAAATAGAGACAAATTTTTACTTATTTCCTATACATATATATATATATGTGTGTGTGTGTGTATATATATATATATATATTTTTTTTTTTTTTTTAAGTACAGATATATTTTTAAAGATACTCAGACTAGACTGTCAATCCTAGGACTTTATTTATTTTAGAAAACTCTGAGCCATCATATCTTCCACAGTTTCTAGACCATTCCTTTGCATTTTATTTCTTTTATCTCTTTAGGTCTGATCTTCATTTGGGGAAAGTTCTCAAGGACTTACTTTTTTTTTTTTTCAGGGACTTACTTCTACTCACTAATTCTCTATTTAATTATATCTAATCTAAAATTTACCCCTCCTGTAATTTGCTTCAATTATATTTTTTCAGGATTTCTAATTATTTTTATTTCAAATTTATTTGATTTCATTTCATTTAAGGCATGTGCTTATTTTATCACTTTTGGAGTCCTTTTTTAGTAGATTTTTTTTTTCTCCTGAAAGTCTTTGTTCTTTAAAAATGTTACCCAAAGTGAATTCATGTACTAATTATTTTTGTTGATAGTTCTTCTAACCCATTTCCTCATGTATTTTGGAATTAGTTTGTAAGCCCTTTTGACTGGGAAGTAGTTTTTGGTTTTGTATCATTCCCTTTGCTCTGTACTTCTCTGCTCACTCCTGTCTTAGAGGGCATCTAGCCCAGCTCAGCCCAAGTTGACACAACCCCTGGCTTCAGGTTGCGTATAAAACGATAAGGCCCCTTTTTGCATGAAGCACTTCCATTGCTATGTGTTTGGAGGAAAGTGGTGATTAAAGCATGAATTCATTGACCTGATCTGACCCAGAGGTCTATAAAGAGTACATTTTTGTCAAAGAGGGTAAAGGGTGGTAATTGGTGGTTTTACTTCATGGAAGACTTTGGGTCCAGTTTATAGGAGGCTACCATCATGGGGCACACCTTTCTGCTCAGCCTCCTGAGATTTCTCCTAAGATTGCTTGCTTGTTTTTGTATCTATATTTTGTTCATTCACTTCTCCCATGTAATATTGCTAGATCTTTCCACTCCATCTCTGCTCCATCAAGGAATTTAACTCAAGTATGATGTGACTTACGGATTTTTGATAATTGAAAATTTTTGGTTTGTGAAGGGTAAAAAGCAGAGCTGAAGTGTGTCCCTCTGATGTATCCTGCCTTTGCCACTTTCTAGAAACTTGGATTGGTCTACTTGCAGTCATAACCAGGGTTACAGTACTTCCAGTCTCACAGGTCATTGAAAGGATCAAGACTTTTGAGAGTCACAGTAACGCACAGTCCAGCTACTGATAAGATTGTCCTGAGCTCATTCACATCTGTGTGTGCTCGTCTTGGTTTGTTCTGCTTTTTCTCCCAGGATTTCCATTAAACAGACATCTTCTTGCAAGTGTTTCCATTCCTTTCTTCTTCCACTCTGTACTTGGTGCCCATAGAATCTGAAATGACAGGGGAAATGATAGCTCTCTGGAACCTGTGTTTTCAACAAAACTCTCTGATCCCAGATAAACCATGGATATAGAGGTTACAAAAGGACTGCTTATAGTAGGTCAGCCACTAAGTCCAACCTCTGCCAAGCATTATCTGGTCTTATAAACTGAGGAAGTCAGCCTTAGTAAAATTAAGGCTCCTCAAACCAGTTTTAACTTTACAAATAAAGTTCATAATTTTACTTGTAAATGAAGTATAGTAACCTTCAGGATCACTGTTGCTATCACATTGCATTCAGTCATATTAAAATATTCTCAGTGCCAAATACACATCTCTGCTTTTTCTCTTCAGAACCTATAATTCTGGGGTTTCAAAGATGTATGTGTCTACAACCTTTTAAATGTAACCATCTGGGGATTACAGGCTGGATTGAAGAAAAATGCCTTTATAAAACTTTCTAGTCTTGGGAAGCTCTGATTTTGGTGAGTTTTATTAGAAGGCGAAAATAAGACGTGCTTATTTTAAAAAATTACATTCTGAACCTGACTTTTTAGTATATAGTTCTAAATTTTAAAGCGTAAAAGAGCTAGAGCATTAAAGCTTCTAGATGATGTCATGGAAGAACATCTTCATGACCTTGGAGTAGATTTCTTGGACACAGAATAAACAATAAACAGTTGAAACAGTGAACTTCATTTAAAAACTTCTGTTCAACAAAGGACACTACTAAGAAAACAAATATACAGGTAACAGGGAGAAAATATTTGCAACATGTATAGCTGACAAAAGGCTTATATTCTGGATATACAGAGAATTCGTATCATTCAATAATAAAAATAAACATCCTCATAATGAAAGAGCAAAAGTTGGATGCTTTAGAAGACAGAGGAATGGCCAATAAAAAAGCACATGAAAGAGTACTACTTATCATCACTATCAGTGGAATGCAGATTTAAGCCACAATAAGCTACTATTGCCAGTTCTAGGTATTTCTGCTGCAAATAAAATGAAAGCATATGTCCACAAAGACTGTACAGCAATGTTCATAATGCTATATTTATGCGAGTCCAAAATCGGAAACATCCCAGGAGTCCATCGTCAGAATAAAGACAGTATAGTGTAGTCAGACACATTAGGGGTCATCATAGAATATACCATATATACACATATGAGGGAACTTTCTGGATTGACAGAAATATTCTCTTAACTTGATGGGGTGTAGGTTACATGGATTATGGATTGTCAAAACTGATCTAACTGTATACGTAAAAATGTGTAACATAAACTTTTTAGAAGATTTAGAGTGAGAGATTGAAAGGAAGTATTAAAAGAAAAAATACTACCTATATCTGAAAAGGATTTGAATCTATAAAGAACTCTATAAATCAATAATAAGACCAATATATTTAAGAATGGACATGTACGGAAGGCTGGTTAGGTTTTATTTTTAAACATGGTATAATACCTAGGGCCAGTTTATTGTCTTTTGTTTAAATTACGTGTGTTTGGGGTTCAGATTGCCATTCACTCTCTGAATTCTATTCAGGGAAGCTGAACACTGCAGGGATAAGCATACTTCCTAGAAGCCAGCCTTCTCCTGTTAGACCTAGTTCAGTTCAGTTGAGCTCAGTCGGGTGGCTTCTCCCATCACTCCCATCTCTCTATCCTTATTTGAGAGAATCTTGGATCCCTGTGCTAGGAGCCTAGCCAACCTGTGAAGAAAAGTTGGTCTGGTGTTTATGGCCTGTGAATGACTGATTTGTTAGGTTTGTAAACTTTGCTTCAGTGGTGTGACTAAGGAATGGGCAAGTGAAGACACAGACTCAGGTTTTGGTAGGCCTGTGTGCATCAGAATGATGGGAAAGAGCCTGCTTCTAAACTAGAGACTGTGCTGTTGCAGATGAGCCTTTCGTGTATGTAAGAAGGGTTGTGAGGGAGATTCGTTACTGTCTTGAGATTTATCACTTACAAGAGCAAAGCTTCTGTCATAGCTTTTTCTTATTTGCCCTCTTCAGTGTCAAAGAAGAACCAGAGAGAGATTTTCAGCTTCCCATTGTCAGTATATAGAACTTGTATATTTCTCCTGTATCACTTAACCACTAAATCACCCACCCACAACAACAGGTAGTTAAGGAATCGCTTGTTTTGTAGCCAAACAAGCACACAGCACTATACCACACACAGTTGGGGGAGGGTGCTGATGAATCATTAGCATATCTGGGTAAGCTTTCATTTGTGAATGTTTGGAACTAAAAGTAGCAGACATTTCTTGCTTTGTGTGTCCCATACTCCTGCATGCTCAGAAGGCCAGATGCCTTGACCACAGTTCTTGGGCCTCAGAGACCATATGTCTGTGTCATAGGTAGAAATCACTGTAGCTCTCTTCGGTTGTGGGCTGGAGGAATTAAGAACAGAGATTCTTGAGTTCCTAAATTCTATCCGTGTCCATGTCATGCAGTCTGTTTCTGGCCTTGTGATAATCCCTGGCCGTTTTGGATTTCTCCAATTTTCTTTTCTTTTTTTTTCCCCTTTCCTTTCTCACTTGACATTAGCATCAGTCCTTACTTGTGACTTTTTCCATTTAACAAGGTTACAGAAATCTTTCCTCACTGTTGATTAGATTGTCTTTTCACACCCTTTTAAAAACCTTACATTAGCTTTAGAACCAGTTTTTAAACCTGCCACTAAAAGCTCTAATGTTAAAAAAAAAAAAAAACCCATCCTCACAGTAACAATTTCTCTCAGTCTCATCAAGAATACTTTTAAATGCGGAAGTTAGAAAATGGTGAATAATTGTAGCTGCTCCTGGAAGTCATTGTGTTCCTTAGTAATTATAAGCTGTAATCTTTGGTTCTGATTCCTTGACAGTTCCATCAAACTGTGAAGGATTTTCTTGAATTTAATGAAGTTTAGTCCTAACAGAAAACTGCTCTTGGGTCACAGAATCACAGCAAGACTGTGATGCTGACGTGGAAATAGGGATGTTTATACCCTTTGTATTGACAAAAGTTAATTTGGGGGACATATCATGTGGGCTTTTCTTAAGAACATAAAACATTTCACAAAATGAAAGCCAGAGGCTTTCTTAGCAATCAGATGGGAGCCAGTTCTGCCGGTCAGGGAAATGGGACAGTGTGAGTTGTCACCTGGTAAATGCATTGCTTAACTGAAGCTCAGGTTCCTTCTCTTTGGTTCAGAGCTCTGAACTTGGATATTCAGTGTCTGTCTTTACTCCACTATCCCTAAGCAATACCCCCTTCGGTCTGGGTCTTTGCAGGGTGAGAAAGACTGGCAGAAATATGAGACTGCTCGGAGGCTGAAGAAGTGTGTGGACAAGATCCGGAACCAGTATCGGGAAGACTGGAAGTCCAAAGAGATGAAAGTCCGGCAGAGAGCTGTAGCCCTGTACTTCATCGATAAGGTGAGGGCATCTTCCAGTCAGACTGCCTACCATGTTCACCTTCATGAAGATGGAGGAGGCATGTATTCCTCCAGGCCCTGTGCTTTAAGTACTGCTGGAGAGGCAGTGACAGCCCAATCATCTGGCTTCCTGCTCACCCAGGCTCTAGCCTACTAAGGAAGGGAGAAGTGGAGGGACAGGTGTTGAGGGGCAGACTGACTGCTGCTGTCTCCAGTCTGTCTAGTAGAAGGACTTTCATGAGTCTGAATGTGCCAGAAAGACTGACATTTTCAAACTCTTTGACCATGTGCCACCCCCCAAAATATTTTACATCACAGCCCAACATGTGTTTGTGTATAACTGAAACAAATGTCTCATAAAACAATGCTCAGCCTTTCTACGAGCAGCGAATTCTGATAGATTTTCCTCTGTTCCTTATTTTTTAAAAGGATGGTTATAATCCTTAAAACTGGTTAAATAGTGCTTGCTTCGGCAGTACAGAGTAAAATTGGAGTGATACAGAGATTAGCGTGGCCCCTATGTAAGGATGACCCACAAATTCATGAAAATTAGTTAAATGATCGCCAATGTATCCTAACTACAGTTTGGAAGACAGTGCTTTGGAGATCAGTTTCTCGCACTCTTTCAGGAAAAAAAGGTTTCATGTTTTCCCTTAGTTTTAGCACTGTTTATATTTAACACAAGTTCTGAATTAAAAATTAAGAAAAATTCAGAGATTAGCTTTTTGAGTCTGATTGCCCACAGTTTTAAATATCTTCTTTCTTCCTTCCCCATTCGAGAGGACAGAGTGAAGAGACATGTAGTTTTCTGGGCAAGTTTAGTAGCCCTTGATTCTCTTCCCACACTGTATTTGATAAGGAAAGAAGCAGCAGTGCAGATCCGGAATTCCTGGGCCTTGCAGACTGATGCCCTGGCCCCAAAGAGACTTGGGAGGCTTCTGATTTGGGTTTCCTAGACAGCATATGATATCGAAGTTTCTTCATTCGTGCTTATCTTCTCCCCGCACACCCTCCCCCCGTCTCCTCCCTGGACAGCTTGCTCTGCGAGCAGGCAATGAGAAGGAGGAAGGAGAAACAGCGGACACTGTGGGTTGCTGCTCGCTTCGTGTGGAGCACATCAATCTGCACCCAGAGTTGGATGGTCAGGAATACGTGGTGGAGTTTGACTTCCTGGGAAAGGACTCAATCAGATACTATAACAAAGTCCCCGTTGAGAAACGAGTGAGTTACTGTGGCCTGAGCTCCCTGGCCTGCTTTTGCTTTCATTACTTGTTGAGTGCTTTTCCTGCGCTCTGTGTTTTGCTGAACACTAGGAAAAATGGTTTGAAGGAGTGAAGAGGTCCTGATTGGTGTCCTGTGTACCTCCTTTGAGTGCCTGCCCTTTACCCCTACCCTGTGCTACAGACCATGCTGTGAAGAGTTGGCCCTCACCACAAGTTGCACATCATGTTTATCCCATTGTGTTGTTTTAATGATATAACACTTCAGTATCTCTTGGTTGTATTTCAGATTTGTCACTTTAGTAGCTTTGTTCAGCTTTGCCCCAGCTCCTGACTCAGCAAAAAGGTAGCCCTTGCGTCTCTGGCTC